AAAAAAAATGGAAAATTAAAATGTCCCTAAACAGTTCAAAATAAATCAAAATATTTTGAAAATGTTATAGTGTATAGAAAATTCAAATATAAACAACCAGTGAAAATTTCAAGTGTCTACGGTCATTTGTTTTAAAGTTACACCAAAAACCAAATTCAATTTTGTGAAAAATCGATTTTGCGTAAAAATTCCCGTTTTTCCTTAATTTTTCTTTTGTTAATCTTGTCGCTTGTGAAAACTAAACTATTGGGAATTTTAAATTTTGACCTCTCAAAAGTACCAACTAGATTCACTTTCCCATCGAACAAGTTACTGAAGTTGAAAATTGAAGCATTGTTTCGACTACTAATCGTGTACACAGACACAAAAAAAAAAAAAAACACACATCATTGTAAAATCAATACATTCATCGTTTCACTCAGAATCTAATATAAGCTGTTTCCGCTAACCCACTGAATAATGACAACTATACAGTAGATTGTGAGCGACAGTTGGGACACTCCAATGTTTTCGATCAGTATCGATTTAGATTTTCGAGTGGACCTAATCGTTAAAAAAAAAAAAATACACCGAGGTTGCCGCGTTTTATTTCTTTTTCATTATTTACATTATTTTGTATATGGGGTGATTCACCAAGCAAGATCACCGCCAATTTTTCCTTTAATAATGAATTTATTCAAATTCTGATTTATAGAATTTTTAAATACACTTATAGTCTATTGTATAGACCATATTTTAAAATTCTTGAATTATGTCTAATTACTTAGGACTGTTCGTTGGAGATACAAAAAACAAAAAAACAAGCTTCTGTTTTTCAAATGAGAACCCCCCTTTTTTACTGTAAATTATTTAGTGGATAGTATTTTAAAAAATGTTGATGTACCTAATTTAAAATTTTAAGGAGTAATTTCTTAGATATTTAAATTTTTGTATTTAGGCGATAAATAGTCCTTAAAAATGGTTTTACATAAATATAAAACAGACGTAAATTTGGATCTAATATTTATTATACTTGGGCCATTTTTAAAAATGATTATTATTGATAGATTACTTAATATTAATGACTACCATTTTCAAATCAGTATAGTCCAAATATCTTATAAACCCATCACCATAAAACTTTTATCCTTAGAACACAAAGTTGAATAACTCAAAAACTACCAGTACGATATTTACGTCAACAATTTCAGAAAAATTATCCACTGTATAATTTACAGTTGAAAAGTGGTGTTAAAATTTAAAAAAATAGAAGTTTGTATCTCCACAGGACACTCCTTAAGTAGCATACAAATATCTCAAAAGTCTAACAATATTTTCTTAAAGTACCTATATATTTAAAAATTCCAAAATTAGATTTTGAATAAAAATTGCATTATTTAAGAACAAAGGCGATGAGCATGCTTGGTGAATCACCCTGTATATAGAAAACCAAAAACAGTCTCGTTATCGGTTGCTACAATATAATACCTACCTACTAAATTTTATAATATCATACATTGCGAAAAGACGTCGTCGTCGACTCATATACAGGCGACTGAGGCGAGGCGCCGTGAACCCTATAATATAATAATAATAAAAACAGTAATTTAATCAGCACAATCCGATCTTGCACCAAAATATCTCAACAAAAAAAGATTAAAACCGTGCCAAACACTTTTAGCTTTGTTCGTCCATGGGAGTATAATACGAGTCAACATTGTTTTGTTTGTGGGCTACATATATAGGTACCAATAAAAATACCATCATAATAATAAAAAAAAATATATCGTAAAACCACTATTATAGTACTATACATAATATATATTCAATATTACAGATAATGTAGGTACACTTCGTAACGCCAATCTACCCGTAAATCGATCTCATCTCATGGATTTTTTGGGGTTTTCTTCCTTGTAGGAACGCCTGAATCGCGTTGGACCTGGAATTCGGAGTGGTGGCCCCCGGGCAAACGCCGCGTGAATGAATATCGTCCGAATGTCGGAAGAACCCGTTATAAAACCACAACACCAATCAAGTCTTAATATGTTATTATGTATATATATGCGTGTGTGTGTAGATATACATATACATACATACATACATACAATACATATATACAATATATATTTACCGGTTTCCGTATATTCTATATATTTTTATTGTATAATAATATATACGTATATAATATATTATTATGTACTTGTGTGAGATTTTTCTGCGTGGCAGCGGCTTACGGATAGGAATCGTATAATATACGACCACAGTATATTATGTATTGCGTGTGGTCCGCGGGTCATAATAATAATATATATTATAATATATATAATAGCGTATTATAGTAATATAATATAATATTATGTAGTCGTTCTTCGGCGCCGACCGTCACTGAAGACTTGGACCACACCGTCCTATGCAACAACCGCATCATTTATAATAAAATTAATATGTATTGTGTGGTGTTTGCGTTGTACCTATATATATAATATGTATATTATATGTAAAATATGAGAGATGAAGTGCCCATCGACCCCATCGACCTATAGATCGGGTGAAAACATTTTATTAAATAAAAACGGGATACTAATATACATTATGGTTTATAAGAACCGTATATATAGTTTGTGGAGAGTTACTGCTAGGGACAGAATCATGGAATTCGAGTTTCCGCTAGCAAATCATACGTATGTCATAGTTAAACTTATAATATATGATTATCAATATTATATATTATATACTATACTGTTGTCCCGCTACATAAGTATCCATAAAACCTAGGTGGAATGCGCATTCTTTCCACCTGATTCGAGTGTCGATAATCCTCTCCTCGACCTTCATTGTTGCAGTCGTGACAATATTATATGCATTATACATAATACATTAATACATATATTATATAAATAAACCGTTATATAACGTTCAACAATCGTTGATATTAATATTATTAATCGCACTAATACCGCTGTCGCATATATACGACTGCAGTTCTACGCACTTCGAAGCCTGTATATACTCGAGTCGTTTAAGTCTCCGGGATGTAAGAATATATTGTTTAATCGTGGATAATATTATATAGTGTTATTATTTATTTCGATAGCTTCAAGTCATCGAGTATCATCAAACTATTAATTATTAAACTAAAGTGGGTATAAGATATTATATTGATATGTACCTATCTATTCAACATTACTTATATTATGCAGCTTCGTCGAAAACAATAATATTTATCAATTAGTATTTCAGTATATCAGCATCATACTTAGTACGTGGTATTATAATTTATGAATTGTACATAATGTATGAAATTAATGTATAATATAGGTAGGTATCTTACTAATAGAAATTCAGCTGTACCAACTCTGATAAACCTTTTCGTAACAACAATTATATAAATCCATCGAAATATAGATGACGAATCAAACCTTTCTCTCCTTTGATTCAAAAAAGCACTTTACATAACTCTTTTCATATGCAAAACTATATAGTCTTATATGACTCATACAAAAGTACGTATTATGATATTTTCTATACTTTTACATTTATCATTTATTTTGATTACCTATCGTGAGTCATGAACGCATTTTTATACTCAGTGATATCATTAATTCATTATTTATTTTACCTGGGTGATAAACTACTGTTTCATAAATTTCTTTTAATTTCAAATCAAAGATTGACCTGGGAGTGGAAACGTTACTAGACTTGAAGACGTTGACTAACCCTTTATATTTTGTTTAAATTATTGTTATCATATCGTATTCCATTATTAATTGTAATCCCGAATCAAATTTTTCCTATATGTGTTATTATATACGTGTAACTTGGAACCAGCCTTTTTGAGCCCAATAGGAGAATGAGTCCATAGATCGTGAGTGCAAAAAGCGGGGATTACTGTATTATAATAGTATATTTTACACAATATACGTAAGTTATTATATACTACCTACACCATTTGATATTATTTTATAACGGACGACGGGTATTACTTCCAAAGTTCCATCGAAGGTGATACACAATGTGTAGTTGTGTACCTGCAGTGTAAATATTTATTCGTATGAGTAATCATAGATATAGGATAATGGATATCTGCACGACTTAATATTTCTATCCCATCCCCATGATAGAAATAGAAACCGCCTAAGAGCACAGATAATAATAATAATATGTTGTAAAATAATATTATCTCTCATAGTTTCATCCACAAAAAATACTATGATCCCCCCCCCGCAATGTTATAGTGTTGATATTGCTTTGTACTATTCATATTCCAAATATCTATTATCTAAATGAGCGTGTAATTGTCACAAACATAATATATAGAAGTCTGTACATTCACACGATTTCGAGGGTGTACCCATATAGATAATAAAGAAATATATAGGAAATATTCTTTATCGTCTAAACGGGTAGGTATACTATCACCAGTTGTGGCAAAGACAACGATGAACGGCCCAGGGGAGGGGATCCGTGGTGACGAAGACCGGACCGCGCTCGAACGCTCCGACCTGCCTGGGCCGGTCCATCTACGGCGGCGGCGACGGTCACAGACGTTTCACGCGGTCCGACAGCAACAGACGTCACGAGCGCGCATCTATCAACACTTCCGCACTGACAAGTGTGCGAGCCCTTCCACCGTCCTACGCACGAATCGGTTTGTTGTACGCGTTTCGACAATCGTCCTGTCCGACGACAGACGTCGTTGTTGCCTTCTCGTCGGTAAGTGCGCACGGGAAACGATCCACATCGCGGTAACCTAAAAGTAAGGGAAATTTTTTCGAACGCACGTGGTGTCGCTCTTCAACGCGCGCGAAACGACACGATCGTCATGACAACGTGCAGAAGTCTGCCAACTCGCAGCCACGCTGCCCGTGGAAGACGTCGTTGACAGGTGCTCGAAGTCTTCGATCGCCCTCCGCCGCGAGTGAGCTTCCGTTTCGGGTACAGCCTCCGTTGCCACTGCAGCCACTGCCGCCCCTCGTCGGCGCGGGATCGCGCCTCCCCGACATCTGTACCACAAAGCGATGGCCCGACCCGGCGTGGTGGCGCCCCTCATCCAGTTGCTGCTATGCGCGGCCACTCTGCGACCCGTCACGGTGATGGTCAACGGCCAGGACGCAGATTCACTGGCCAGCAGCTTTTTCTCAGGTACACATATTGTCAAGTTTAACCCTATAGCCTAATGATATACACACAATCGTCGGGTCAGTACACAACAATAATAATAGTTATTAATTATTATTATTATTGATAGTTCACACGATTATAATTTTACTAAATATTGATTACTGATGTTTTTAAATATTTTGAAACAATATACCTATTATAAAGATAAGTATTGGTAAAAATCATTTATAATATTTTTGTATCTGTGCCTCGTTTGTCACGTCATATTATATATATTTGTACTCATGTAGTACAGCAATAATCCCTTTAGCGTCTATACGACTATAATATTATTGTCGACTGCAATACCGGTCAGGGACCACTGTTTAGATGCGGAGTGACATGGGCCCTGCTGTTCCACTGTCCACTGCAATGAAACCATACCGCGGTGTAGGGCGCAAACTTTTTTTTTATTAGTTCAATGTAACAAAATTCTACAGGACGTTTCACTACGCACACTCGTTATTCTAGCCACTCCCGAGGATTTTAGTTTTTTATTATTATTATTGTGACCCGCTACTATTATTGGGATATAAGGAGTCTTACTGTTGTATGTTTATAATAATACATTAATCGATAGTAGAAATAAGATTTTTTTTTTTTAAAAACGAATAAATCAAAATGACATGTTATTATAGTGTTAGGTATATAAATTATTATCATAATTTTTTGTGTAATAGTTTTGAGTAAATGATGACATTTATAATTGATTAGGATTATGAACGAATTTATTGGGGGTAGACTTGAAGATATTTGGTCCAGAAGGCATTTATTTTGAGGTTCTTAAAAGTGTGGCATTCAGTTATTATGGGTTTTACTGTAAAGTGTAAGGTGAACATCCCGTGAAAAGCACATAATTATAGGTTTTTTTATCCACAAAGAAATTGTGTGTTAGATTATGGGTATGACTGATACGTAACCTGGTTATTACTACCTCGAGTTTCCTTGGAATTGTCTGTATACGTGTCCATTGTCTAACGACTTGTTTTGTTAAATTTAGTTTTCTGTGTTGGAATTTTTCAATCGAATTGACAGTTGATATTAATGTTGCTGGTATTACGGAGTATACCTAGTGTCTAGTGATTATATGTATAGTTTTATAGTCATCTAGAAACCAAGATCCATTTTAGCCTTTTAGGGTTATGCTCTAAGTTTTCTATGATTTTGGTGGTAGAAGACACCCTCCTAATATACCCCTCACAGTAAAATGTACAAATATAAATGATCCTCCCCAGTGTTGTTTAAATTAGTTTCAAGCATCGAAAAACCCGCTCAATAATTGGTGTTATAGGTAATATTATAATGAATGATTTATGAAAAATCAAAAACTATTCATCTGAAAAACTCGTCATTTGCACTTTCAATACCAACAGTATATATTTTTAACGAACACGGTTATTTAAAAAACAATACATTAAGAAAAGGTATGTATCAAGAATTGTCTGCTATGTTATAAAAACAATGTTTTATTTTTATTGCTATTTATTATTTAATTGTTAAGATTACAATAATCTGTGTTACTTATTCTATATATTACCTATGTACACAAAGTCATTAAAGTATCGGGTGTACGAGTATTTGTCGAATGTATTGTTAATGAGGATGGACTAAAAAAAAAATTCCAAAACATAGTAGAGCGAGTAGGGTAGTTTTAAATCAATAAATTTAAGTTTACCCAATACGTGTTCATGATTATCATAACATCATTAAACCGTTATCATCGATCGAACCAATAGTAATCAGCGTTCAAATCTCTGGAAAATAATAGTCATATTATGGGGGATGTATAAAACGTTTCTTTCGATTTGTGTTGTCGAAGACACTAACTACCTATACCTAACCTTAGGACGATCCATTTAAGTGCCCACGTACTCATTGTTTTGAATAAAACATTACATTCCTTACATTTTATCATCGTTAACATTTTTTTTTTACTTTTATACCATTTATACTTTTTTTATTGACAACATATATTTTTAATTTCATATTACGTAAAAGAATATTTCGATAAACTAAAATCGAAATTCAAACGAGTGATTTTCTGACTTAATTGAAGTTTGATGAGGGGAGTAGAGGACCAACATTTTTCTGGGTGCCCCCGTTCCATCGCATACTCTGGTAATCTGAACTTTTTCGAAATAATGACGGCAGATATTTAAATGGATAGCCTTGTATATACAATGATTGTATTGTGTCAACTCGTACGTCGCTTGAAAGAATCCGAAAGGATATGGTGAAATGTTTGTGAAAACGGAGATGTGTGCAGTGGGGAGGTACTCTCCACCGGTGGCGGGATTCAATAGCACCGATAGCAATACAATATATTAATATGATATCGTCATCATCATCATTATCATATAATATACGACCGGATGAGATAGTGACGACGACGGCGCGAACATATAATATCGTCGCCGGAACGAGGACAAGCACGACCGACGACCACTGCGACGACACGCGAAGACGGCTGCGGCGGCGTAGGTCTAACGGTATCTGGCGTGCCGGCGCAAAACAATCAGCGTGCGCGAGTTTACGGCGGCGCGTTTCGTAAAGAAAGCGTTTGACCCCGATCAGCCGCCGCCGCCGCCGCCGTTGTACAAGTTTCGTCCTCATCGTCGTCGTCGTAGTCGTCGTATATAATATAAGTCACGTACCTAAATCTAATACAATAATTATAGTTTCACGCCCACTTTACGCATATTATTATATTCATTCCCAGAGTGTGACGATCGCGATGACGACGGTCTATTATTATTATTATTATTTCTGCTATTATCGTTATCGTCGGTGGTGTGGCCGACCCGCCGCGGTGGGGTGGTGTCTCGGGACTCGCGCGCGACCTTGCCGGTTACTGAACCCGCTAGACGATCAGCGAAATCTTCGCCGCCACCGCCCGAAATCGTCTTGTCCTAGTCCGGCAGGACAACACTCCTCTCGTCACGATGACCATAATAATATAATATATTATTATTATTATAATAGCCGAGTAACGCTGTAGGTATACGTCTTGCATAACAAGCTTTTTGAAGTAAACGAGAAAAAAATTCACAATTTTACAGCGATCCCCAAATCCTTTGAATAATTAATAATAATGACGTCGCGGAGATGGCTTAGCCCTTGACATTGACATATTTAATTTCCAAAAACGCTTGTACCATGTTTGTTTTAAATATATCTTCCAAATTACTGATCTATCATCTACCTAAATTAGAGTAAAATTTAAATGAAAAATATAAATGCCATCGGACAACGCGGTAGTGGAACATATGTCGATAGAGCTATATCGATTGTTACATTGGAAAGTTCATAAAACTCCACATATCAATTATCAACTGTTTATTATTATTATTATTATTGTAGTACCGTCGTCAAATACAATTCATGATGAGTACAACGCCGTGCCATTCATTAAATTCTTCTAAATTTTCATTTAATGTCGTTATTTTATATTATAAATTATAATGCTATATATACATGTACATATGTTTACACGTGTGTGTGTTTTTAGCTGGGTTCCATGACCAGGCAGTTTTTAAGTGTACAAAATATTATATTACTTGTGTGTTTCGAATTATGAAGATGTTAATTTTGAAACCTGTTCCTCAGACGAAACCAGTTTCCGTTATGTTTTCAAGGTGTTACACCAAAGTACTATTCGATTCACAAAACCCTCCGTTATACCTATCGATATATTAATAATATGAAAGATTATTGTGTTATAGAACCGTGGGTACGTATTTAGTATAAATATATACGTATTAACACGTGCAAGTGGTTATCGTGTTACCGTATATTATAATATTATTAAAAATTCGTCGTTTTTTGAGTGGTTCGACAAAGAATGTTCATAACCTAGGGCTTGGATTTGTAGAAAAATAAATTGTTAAAAAAGAATTGCCCAAAAATGATCTATTTAATTTAGTCTTTAAAAATGCAATACTAAAAAAAATTATCTATATTATTTATTGAAATTAAAAAACGAATTTTTTGTAATATTATATAATAATATAATATAGTCTTTAGATAAAGACATTCTCATTATAACAATATAACTTAGGCGTTGAGGTGTAGGGTGCTGTTATATTATTATACATTGAAAATGATCTTTCTACATCTACTGATGCATATTTTATATAAACTAATTAATTCAAATATTATTAAGTTTATATATACGTATATATATATATATATATATATGCATAATGCATATATTATGTAAATATATATATATAGATAATGCATCAAACATATAAATGTATAACTGTATACAGCTATACATTTACATTAATGTTTGATGTAGTGCCTTTAAATATGTTTTGAATATTTTGAAGTGCTCTCCATCCATTATTCTTTGAAAAAACCCAATATTGACGACTAAACATGTCAGTTTCGCCTATTTCTGGCGATCATAATTTGTAGTAGGTAACTTAGCTAATATAATTAAATAAAAAAAAATAAATTACATTGTCTTGAAAGTTATTCTAAAATTACACAAAAATGAGCAAAAAAGTATATTATGTAGTTAGAGGAAAAAAGCAAAATAAAGTTTACTTTCCTTAGTATACGTACTGATATCAGAATGATACGAAACGAATTCATATATTATATAAAAATGACATTTTCATCACACTCTCTGCCTGCAAAAAAATATTTTAGCTACAAAATCCGAGCCCTATAACTTATAGCTCTATAACTTTTAACGAACTTTTGGACTCCGCGAACCCTGCAGTCTCATATATTACAGTGTTATCGCTTAGAGGGCAGCAACTATATGCCTACCTACGTATGATTATGATATTATCACTCATAGAGGCAAACATTGTTTGTATATTATAATATAACCACTACCACGGTATAAATTGCATATTATAGTAGCTTGACTAAAGGCGGGTTTCCACTATACACGTACGTGCGTACAAATCCTTTGCTGTGATTGGATGGTTAGGTTACGTTACCACACGATTAACCACGATACCGTGTTGTTGGACATAGCTGAACATTTTTCGTGTATACTGGAAACCCGCCTTAAACCATAATATTATTATAATATTATGGCAAACCGCGACGGCTGCCTGTAAAGAGTGGTCGGCCGGCACCAAGTTTCTATAAGCGTATAGATCACGAACCGGCACCAAGATCTATAATTGTATAGATCACGGGCCGGCACTTCCTATGACACACACACACATACACACACCATCATCACCACCACCACCACCACCACCACCTCCACCACCACCTCCACTACCTCTATTGCCATCGCATGGATACCGTTACGGGAACGTGCGATCCGCGCAGGACCGTTATATGCACGCAGTGGCCGCTCATACAATGGACCGGGAAAATATTATATACTTTGGCGTGTGACCCGAATACCTACTTATATTTTATTATTATTACTATTACTATTATTGTTATTGGACAAAAAGTTTTGTGATTATTGCAACTACGCTATATTGCTGTGGCCACCTTTTCACTGTTGGTTTGGATGTTTCGATCTTGAGTAGAAGGTCCGCAGTGGACATTTTAATAAATTCTGCGTCTAACCGTGCGAGCACTGTCCCTCTCGACAAAAGCAACCACTTTGTTTGCATCCCAACTACCTTTTATTTTTGGATCAATATTATTTTATCCAAAATGTAAATAGTAAATACGCAATACATTACATATTGTAATTGGGCTTTCCGTCCATTTAACTATAATAAAATAAATAAATTAATACCATTTCCTACCTCGTGGGTTCTTCTGTCAATAAATAATTAAATTCTCGTACAATGAATGATGGTACAAGTCCCAATGATATTAAACTCGTCAAATTCATTATTCACTATACCTTACATAATAATATAATATTATTATTATTTATGATTTACCGTGGATTTTGTTGTGTGCAGGTTTGCTGGACACCATCACCAGTACGGCGGACAGCAAGGACTGCCCTGGCGTTTGCGTGCACACGTTGGCCACGCTCATATGCTACGAGGTGCTGGAGAACGTCAAGTGTCCCAGCCCGACGATGCGGTGCTGCGTGGAACCTCCTCCGCTGCCGGCCAACAGCACGACGGCCGCCGTCAACAAGGTGGTCCAAACCACCCCGGCCGCGGGGTCCAGCGCCCGGCCGCAAGCGGTGAGTGAAATTCCTGTTTGCCACTGTATACGCAGTCATGATAGCTATAATATTATTAGAGCGGTGTTAGGTTAATGTTTTCGTGAATAATTTTGTATAATATACTAAGCACCGTGACTATGGCGCCATCGAATATTTTCACGACAATTATTAAGTGTGTATGTATTGTGGTACGTCGTCGACATGTCTCATCGGTATATGAAACAAAAGATTGTATCATTCAAGTTCAAATAGTTAAGTACCTATCTATCTGTTATATTGTACCGATCAGCGAGCGAGTAGGACTGTTATTTTGTGTTGTATCTTAGAGGTATGATATTCAGTTAAGCCAACGCTGTACGTCACCACGATATAGAAGTTAAAGCACAATTTATTATTTTCATCGAATTCCTATTTTTTTTTTTTTTTTCGTAAAATACGCAACAATGCAGTCCACTATATTATTTTTAATTAATTTACCCGAAAATATTCACCACTGCAATAAAATTACGTGACATACATATTATATTTATATCCTAAAATATATTTTCACTGGTGCAATATATAGACATTTTTCGCCGGAATTGAATACTAATAACCGCGGATTAGGTATATTGTAATTATACAAAAATTGACTATTCTTAGCGCATATCCAAGTCCGGAAAAAGCGTCGACCACACTAATCTCACTCATCACTGAGAAAAATTAAACTATTATTGATAAAATTGTTATGATTTTTTTGTCATTCAGGTCTCCTCTAGTAGCCAACAGCAGAGGCCGGCCGTTAATTCGTCGTCCGCGGACAATCCGGGTAAGAAGGTAAACTGAAATAGTAAACGGGCAATTTTTTGACACGGGAACGTATACTCACGCTTTAAAGAGAAACGACTAACAAGACTAGTACAATGACTCGCCGATAAGATTTTAAATTAAATGATCAATATTAATTGATTTTGGGTGCATACGAGTTCCTATACATAGGGGGGGCTAAGCCCCCAAACTTAGCCGTAGCCCCCCAAAAACCTAGGACATACAATTTTAATATGCTATATTGCAATGGTCTACTTGTCTTTAATATATTCAGCCCCGAGCCCCCCAAGCCAAAAGTTGAAATTGCGCCTATGTTCCTATATTACAATGTGCACTGTACATAGATATTGTGTTTTTATTTGTTAGTATTCAGTGGTACAGACTAAACACTCACTTTTTTCTGTTTAAGAGAGCAGTTTTCTAATAGTTTATTAATAATATATTATTATTTAGGTACTTGAAATTTTAATTGTGTAGACCCGAGAAACTAATAGATCATTCGTAATAACGTTAGTAAGAAAATTCATACACTAATTTCAGCTATGTTTTCACGGTATCAAAAAATATATCCCAAAAATTGTTTTTCATAAGAATTTAAAAAAAAATCACTTGTTAGAATTTATATGTAGCGAATCTGTGTTACAAACGATTAGGTTATGTGGCCTTTTATAACAATGTCGTCATATAATGGTTATCGTATGATTTCATCTCGAAGGCATCGTGTGTCCTGGAGTGTGCGTGGCTGAGAGGATAGCCGACTACTGTGAAGCCGTTCTGAACGTGACGGAGATGTGCAAGACGGGTCTGCGGTGTTGCGTGTCCAAGGACGCGTTCGCCGGCGCCGAACACCTGGTCGTGCTGGACAGGAACTCTACCAGGATCAGCCTAAATAACGCACCGCATCGGCCGCCACCACCGTCGTCCACCACTACAACGGCGGCGACGACGACAGCGGCCGTGGACACCTCGGCGGCCGCTCCCCCGCCGCCAGTGGGCAGCAAACAATGTCGAGGCGAGTGCGTTAGCGGGCTGTTTGCGCTGTTCTGCGACGACGTGGACGCCGAAGCGTACTGTCCGGGTGACGACAGCAGTTGTTGCGTCACCGCGCCCGCCGACGGACAGTCGAGCCAGCAGCCGCCACCACCACCACCGCGTCCCACCCAGCCGTCCAAACAATCGTCGTCCAAGCAACCACCGGCCACCACCACGGCCGCAGGCCGGCCGTTACCCAAGTGCCCAGGCTTCTGTCTGCTCAACCTGATGGCCGCGTTCTGCGAACGGCCGTCCGTGCTAGTTTCGTACACGTCCACTTGTAAACAAGGCTCGGTGTGCTGCGACAACACCAAGGCCGCCGCACCGTCGCACGCCACGCAAAAACCCAAACCCCGGCCACCCGCGCCCACCACCACTACTGTGGCCACGCCACCCGCACCACCAGACGGACGGCCAGAGTGCCCGGGATCGTGCATCGTCCCTTACTTGTCGTTCACGTGTTTCAGTAAGTATTTTTTTATATAAGCCCCAAGTTCATACTGCTTATAGTGTCGTGTTGGGTTTCGTTTACCAATATTCAATACATATTTAATACATAAAGGTAACGAAATGTCGGTAAAATTGTTACCTATACGAGATTAATGTTATATTATCCAACTATAAACGACACGGTGTAGTGAGAATCTGACTATATCCACATTCATTATACATACGGTTTACCGGTACTTCGGTATAGTGCCTGCTATATATATTTAATATTATGTTGAAAACTTTCATAAGCGTCGATATTGCCCTATATATAGTTACTTAAAAAAACACATATTTCTAACGTTCGCGTGAAATAACTGGTTTTTTGTTGGTCTTAAGGAAATGCTGAAATGACAGACGTTTTCAAATGCCGAAAACCGGGGACGCAGTGTTGCGCTTCGAAAACCCAAATTAGAGAAGTCGTTGAACAGAAGACTGGAGTCGTCAACTACGGAGCCAATCCACCTCAATCCACACCGCAAACCTACGGTGGGTTTACGCACAGAAACGACACCGTACCGCCGTTTAGGCCGCACGTGCCGAGTTCGTTGCAAGTGTACACCCCGTCGCCAGGTCAGTTAAGATGTATAACTTCAATACTGTATAGTTTTTCACGAAGATAGTAATAATATTATAATATAGGTAAAATTATAAAAAAGTTTCGCTTGATCATCTAGATTGAAAGTTTATACCACCAAACGGTCAACATGAATATTGTGTATAAAGCATAAAGTCTTCACAAGTCTTGGACAAATATTGTCCATTTTTTGGTAGATAGAGCAGTCTTTTTTTTGAAATTGTATCAAATTTTAAAGAATCGTACCCAATCTATACTCACGTGTATCCAACCACAACTACAGTTTTTTTTTATTCTATAATTTGATTTCCTACATGTTTTATGTATATTAAAACAAATGTGTGAATAGAGAAGGAAAATTTCGCCCCAAAGTGCTCCAATTATTTTCCATACAAAATAAATGTAATCTTTTGCTTAAAATTTTATAAAATGTATTAAATTGAACACACCTACTTACTAAAAACTATTAATAATATTTAAAAATATATACAAGCCAAGTAAAGAAAGCAACTTGGTCATTAAAATACATTATTTTAAATGGTTATAAATATATTTATGAATCTATAATTATTAGGACAAAAATATAAATCAGTTGTAAAATTGTTTGCGTACAAAATATTTCAAACTCAACTTTGTAACATAGGTAAACTACTATTCCTATGCTTACTACCTACAACTTATCTATATAACGTTAATACTTTTACGCGTCGAGCCTTAACTGTAAAATATAAATTACAATTAATGTTTTCCTGACAATCTTCAAACTATAAGCCATAAGGATTTACATAAAAATATTTTTATTAAATTTATTCTAATGGTACTACATGCACCTAATTTAAAATAAATTATTGCAATGGACATGGGACATATCGCACACGTCAAACCGGCTTCATCGTAATGGCTGTGTAGGTTAAGAATTAACATTATTACCTACTTAAGGAACCTAGTTCAAAGTGGGGTACCTCGTGGGTGCATAATGAGGTAGACACGTGGTTGCTAGTGGAACATGAAAATCGAAGATTCTAATTTCTAGCTGAAGTGTAGAATAAAATGTGCGATTAACAATATAATTTCGTTTTAGATTAAATAAGAAAGCAGCTACTGATGCCCAAGTAAATCGTTTAACACTGGTGCCATGAATTTACGTTGCGTGTGTCATAGGTTGTGTTATAGTTTAACTTTAGATTCTGAGTAGAACGATGAATGTATTGATCTTACAAATCATGTGTTTTTTTTAATTTTTTTTTTGTGTCTGTGTACACGATAAGTAGTCGAAATAATGCTTCGATTTTTAACTTCAGTATCTTGTTCGATTGGAAAGTGAATATCGTTGGTGCATTGGGGAAGTCAACATTTAGAATTCACAGTAATTTTCAATAGCACCAAGAAAAACAAAAGAAAAATTAAAGAAAAACGGGAATTTTTATGCAAAATCGATTTTTCACAAAATTGAATTTGGTTTTTGGTGTAACTTTAAAACAAATGACCGTAGATACATGAAATTTTCACTGGTTGTTTATATTTGCATTTTCTATACATGATAACATTTTCAAAATATTTTGATTTATTTTGTACTATTTAGGGATATTTTAATTTTCCATTTTCTATTAGTTTTTTTTCTAAAAATATCAACAAAATTTTATTTGTTAGGCCAAAAAGTGTAAAAATTTAATACAAGGCTCCTGATATATTGTTACAATATCAGTTGAAAAATATTAAAAATACATAGGCACAATTTTTTTTTATAAGCATTTAAAGATCGAATTTTGACAAAATTTATCAAATTTAAAATTGAATAATTATTTGTAGTTAAAAATTTATAAAATGTTCAAAATCTCGAAAATTATCAATCATTGTAATTAATAAATTATAAAATGTTCAGTTTTTATAGCTAAGGATTGCAAATTTAAAACAAAGGTTCTCATAAATAGTTCATACTGTAACCAAAAAATCTAAAAAATATATGAACACAGTTATTTTTTACAGACATTTTAAATTCAAATTTGGATGAAATTACATAATAAAAAACTTAGAATAACTATTTTATTTATTTTGTTGTGATTGTATAATATTATTCGTGGGTACTTGAAACTTCTAAGTACACTATTATATATCTATGATAGTAACAGAGTTTGTTGTTGATGTATGAAGCGTTATATGTACCTAATGGATATTGTGATATGATTAATTTGGAATTTATTATAGGTCAATTTTTTTTAACACCATAGAAAAGTATATAATATGTCTTATACCTAGACTGACATACTGTATCCGCTCAGAATCGTTTTCTTATACAATGATATTTTATTATTGAATTCAAATTTAATACCATCCATTATACAGTGACCCACTTGTAACCTACTGTACAGCAGAGCACCTTTTTTTTATTATTAGGCATGTGCGTCGTTTGATACAATAAAATATTACATACGGAAACCTACAACATTGATACAATAATAAAGATGAAATGCGGTAGAGTTATCGTGTTGTACCTATACAAAATTCCCAATGATTTAAAATCCAAAAGTAAAAATAAAAATCAGGATTACGCGAGTTTTTTTAACAACCCTAATAATGAGCATTAATATGTTTTCGCTGGAGTAGGTGCCGCGAGTTTTATTCTGACTCGATTTTTGAAACGCGATAGTGTAGTATATAGTACTTTACCTATCTTATATTGTATCGACATAATATAAATTGATCTTGAATGAAGACCTAAAAGTGTTATATATAGTATGCACAATGCTTATTATACGCAAGTTTGCTCCCAATGAGACGAGTGCCGGACATCCAATCTTTTTTGCGGTGTGTGTCCCGTCTTTGGTCTACGTCTTGTATGAAATTGTTCTGATCGTAATATTATTTCGTATTTTTTCTCAGTCGATTATTCGGCGAATCCTACAGTGTCCACTTTGACCACGTCGAATCCTGTACCTGCCAAACCTTCGACGTACAGCAAGTACGTGTGCGGCGTAAAGGGAACATCAAGGACGAGGACGTCGAGAGTAGTCGGCGGTGAAGACGCTGACGCTGCCGAATGGTGTTGGCAGGTGGCGTTGATCAACTCCTTAAACCAATATCTGTGCGGAGGAGCTTTGATCGGCACTCAATGGGTGTTAACTGCTGCGCATTGCGTTACAAAGTGAGTGTTTTCTACTATTGATGCACATCAGTGGTTCATAACTGTATCATGATTATAGTGGTGACTGGTGGGTACTTGTTGGTGCGATCGTGAGATGTACGAAATACATTAGAATAAAAAAAGACATTTAGCCAAAAAAATTACAGAATATAATCCAATAATAGTACCTATACGGTTAAATATTAAATCATTAAAAACATCATAATGTTTATGTGTTATTATTTTTTTATTATATTATTATTTTTATTCAAGAAGATAATGATCCTTACTGAACAGTGAACATGTGTGCTATATCTTCTGATATTAAAACTTTTAACAGTGTTCTCTCTTCGGCAAATGTATCAGAAATTCTCTGAGCTTTCGAGGAGTATCATTTCATTATTTTAACAAATAAATATTTATGAATTTTAAACACCTAAGTCCTGTTTGAACCCATATTTTGAACTAATAATCTTCACATGAATGAATTATTCTTTTAAAATTATTATTAGAAAATATATTTAATGCATAATGTGTTTTAAAAAATATTATGTATATATAACGGTAATATTCTAGATATGTAACTGCGTTAGTACTGACACGGGGATTATAACGGTTACAAGCTAGTTCGGGATACAATAACGTGGGAACTAGTATTATGGTATAAGGAAAAATATATCAATTTACAGTTTAAATAACAATCATTGTAATTTATTGCAAGATGCTAATTACATAAAAAAATATATACCAATTATAAGTTACGTTTGTGTTTAAATTACACCATCTCAATTATTATCTGTCCTATTCCTAACTGTGATTATTAGTGTAATACATAACGCGTTTTTAACAACATTCCAATTTTCTAGTAGGTATACACCTATATATTATTATTTTACGTGCAACTGAAATATATTTATTTATTTTTTAACTGTTACCTAAATTACTCCAACAATATGTGTGGTTTTTTCTATTATTTCAACTACACAATTTCACGAGATTCCGCGATAATTTCATACATTATATTATTAATATTGTTTGAATAACCAAACAACGGTGTTATGCCGTATTTCTCTTGTCGAAATCCTTCTTGATTATAAAATTTCAACTTACAGTCTTCTTTCCATCCAAATCACCTGAGTGGCGAAAAGTGGATCTAATGCTGGAGATTAACATTAATTTATAGTCAATTTCAAAACTATATTTCTCATAGTATATACTATTTGCCTAGTGTGAAATTCGTCGTCACCAGCCTAAATCGACGATGAATGTAACGTTTACGTTGCGTGTTTTTTAGCATTGTGAGGTCCGGTGACGCGATCTACGTGCGCGTGGGTGACCACGACCTGACCCGAAAGTACGGGAGCCCAGGGGCACAGACCCTCAGGGTGGCCACCACGTACATCCACCACAACCACAATTCGCAGACCCTGGACAACGACATCGCTCTGCTCAAACTCCACGGTCAGGCAGAGCTCAAGGACGGCGTGTGCCTGGTGTGCCTGCCAGCAAGGGGCGTCAGCCACGCGGCCGGAAAACGGTGCACGGTCACCGGATACGGTTTATATGGGCGAAGCAGGCCCGCTCCCGCTTGCGCATCCGCGAGGCCGAGATCCCGGTGGTCAGCGACACGGAGTGCATCCGCAAGATAAACGCGGTCACGATAAAATATTCATACTTCCGGCCAGCAGCTTTTGCGCCGGTGGTGAGGCCGGAAACGATGCCTGTCAGGTGAGCTGCTTGGCTTTTTTTTATTGTATATTAAAATACTATAACAATTAGAACTGTGAATTCAGTACTATTATTACCTAAAAAAATCCATTTAAAATTCCAATAAAGACTTTAAAATATGCATTTTGTATTTTTTTAAATCCCAAAAAATGTCAATTTTTAAATATATAAAAAGAGTCAAACCTGGATACGTTAAGGCGTTGGATTTGTGAATCTACAAATACCTACTCACTTACATAATATTATGTATGACTAAAACTAAGGATTTAATGTATATTTTTTTTATTAATGCTAACATTACCATTTTAGGGAGATGGCGGTGGACCCCTTGTGTGTCAAGACGACGGATTTTTCGAATTGGCTGGATTGGTGTCTTGGGGTTTTGGATGCGGCAGAATAGACGTACCAGGTGTATACGTAAAGGTTTCGTCATTTATTGGTTGGATCAATCAAATTATAAGTGTAAACAATTTGTAATTTTAAATGTTCAAACGTTAGTTTGCATTAGTTCAAATTAAAGTCGAATATTGTTTAAATTAAGTTAAATTCATCAATAATTTTATTATTTATTATTTATTTTGTATATAAACCCTAAAAATTATTTTTATGATTAAAATGACATAAAATATTATATTATACATTCTTGTCTAATCATAATATTTACGCAATTTGTAAATATAAAATAAAACCGTAATTTGCGCATTAAGTAAGTAAAAAATTGACATCGGTGACGTTTGTACCTAATACAAATATTTTGCCAGTATTTATTATTAGCTGCAAAAAAATATTGGTCAGTTAAGAAATTTATGTTCAAAAAATTATATTTATCACAAATCATATTTATTATATCTATTAATGTTTTATATCTAAATAAATAAATCATTGTATACGGATATATTGAATTAAAAAACGTGTGATAATTTTATATAATTAGATGTTTTATACATTAGTCATTAAGATATATTAAGTTGAACCTGAATTTTTTATTTCTAACAAGAATTTATAAAAACAAATATAATACTGCATTATTGAAAGTATAAAATGTGTTAAATGTAATACATTTAAACAAGTACCTACAAGTAATATAGTAAAATAAAAATGTTGGTGCTCAAAGTAGATTTTTACATGGTGAAATGTTAAAATATAACGTACTTACCTAAAATCATCGTAAAATGTCCGGTTGTATAAATAATACACAGAATCATGTTGCTATTGAAATAATGAAATAACATGTATTTGAATGTTTTGCAACGAATTCAACAATATCATTATTCATTACCTATTCGCAAGGGCGTCTATAGAAATTTCATCTGTGTGGTTATGAGTGGGAGGAGGGGGGGGGCGAAATTTATTTTAATTTTTAACCAAATTTAAAATGTCGTTAAACATTTATATATTTTTTAGGTATGGTCGGGGAGAGATTGCCCTCCCTGCCACTTTTGATTACGCCCTTGCATACTCGTAATATAATTATTATTTGTATTGGCATTTTATATTTTGAATTACATGATGTTTAAAAACGTTTCTAGTATTGTAACTAGAACATAAAATACTCATTATAGCATTATATGAATTTACATGATGTACTATAGATATTTAGAGTTTGTTTTAAGTTATTGTATTTAAATTTAAAAGTATATTACAAACCTCAAAATAAGACGACAATGGTAATTTTGTCTTAGATACTATAATTTTTAGAATACATTTTTAAAAAGTTAAATCATATAGGATTAAAAAAACAATTCTGAAAGAATCACAATAGGATATTTTTTGTTAATTTTAATAAAATATTAAACTAGAATTACACTGTTTGATATTTAATAAAAGTAGTTAGAATATAATATTTCGATTTAATCTTAAATTAAGATTTTAAATTCTAGTAAAAACTAAAAAGTATAAGTATAGTAATGGAAAAACACTCACCTCAGTGGCAGAATAGACGTCGCACTGAAGTATAAATATAAATATAATTTTAAATCATGACAAATCATCACATTTGAAAGCAATCTCAAGTAGTGCTCAATTGATGATACTTGATCACTAAGTTTTCACAAGTTATGAAACTACTGGAAAAAAACTCATAGCTTTAAACCCATAGCTTATTTTGTCGACGTAAAATAAATACATACTTGTGCCACACTCATATTCAAATAACTACGGTACATAAATTGTGAAAATTTGTAAATTGTGGTACTCTTCATCACCGTTGTTATTTTTGCTGTACTGATTTAATTAGATAGGTACTTTAAATTATCTAGATATAGATACAAGTATCTTGAGAGATCTGAGTATCATAAGATATTAAGATGTATTTAACAAAACAAACTATTTTCTTCATAAAAATGTAATATTTTAAAAATATACAATCACCAATTTAAAGTAAAACAAATAATATATCATTTAAAATACAATCATTTTTATGTAAGATATTATAGGTGTATAGACCCCATCTGAAAAATGCACATACCTAGTGTAATATTTTTGTTGAATTAATATAGTATATAGTAGTATTTTAAAAAGTATTTTAGATACTTCTATTCTCACACAATAGTTTATATCTAATAAGAATATTTGATTTATAGTTTTGAAATATTATCGAGTTTGATATCTTTTAAAGATTACTACGCAAAATATCCTTTCTAAAAATATATATATCTAACTTGTTCAACTTTCGAGAAGTCCAAAGGTTTTGTTACACAATGATAGACGATGGTGACATATTGCCATGACTTGCATCCTGTATATTATGATTTAAGATACATCTACTAAAATTTAAAATTTAATTTTCCATTAAAAGTACAAAGTGACTTGTTTATCAATTATTAAACATACACGACATAAACTCATAACAATCAATTCTATGTTCCAATATGCACCACAAACTATGCTGGATTGCCAATATAAAATCGATCCTCTTCTTCGTTACATTTTATTATATTAAACTTTCTTCTAAACTCTCCATTTTTCGGGATAGTTAATATTTCAAAAATATGTTTATTTGTAAATAGTAATATTTCTAAAATATATAACCATTGAACTACCAGCCTGTACTTTTAATATAGGTAATTAAAAATAAATAAATAAAATAAGTAACTCTCATCGCATATTATTTTTAATAAAATGAATGTATTTCATTGACGTTATGCATGTAGCGGAAAGTTAAAATTATTTTTATTTATCTACAACTTTATTATCTTTATAAATATTTACTGGCGTTAGGCGAGAACTGACAATATAAAACCGATCAATCCGAGTTTAATAATATCATATGTCTATTTAGCTTGCTGTATATTTACCAATTAACTGTTTTTGTTACCATCCATAATATAAAATATTCACGTATTTGGCCCTTGAAAATTAATCGATGAAGTAGCTATAATATTAGTATACGATGCTCTTTGTCTCTAGAATGCCCACGACCCAAATAGTTTCGTGTCCTTTTTAGTTGTTACAAGTATTAAATTAGGTATATAAAATATTAAACTATACTCGTACAGACCTACTATACCGTTCACTGCGATCAATAATAATAATAATAATAATAATAATAATAACAATAATACATATTATAGCCTAATGTAATACACTTGACTGTAGTACCATAGTGTATACTATTGTACAATGTACATTGTACATATCATTCGAACACAAATCATTCTACTTTTATATTTTATGCGTTTTAGAGGATTTTTAATAGATATAGGAGAATTACGGATAAATGATCATTACCAATGTACTGACGAATTATTATTATTTATTATTTCATAATTATTTGTGTTTTAAACTAATATATCTAATAGTAAATAATGTAGGTACCTATACAGTTTTTATACTATTTAAAATAAAATATAATGAATTAATTAAAAATCATACAAAATACAATGAACACTTTATACATTTTAAATTATTATTATGTCATTATTGCCTATTATTCTATTTATGTCTTTATTTCCTATCTATAATTTAATTTAAATTAAAAACTTTCTATACCTCCTGATAAAAATCAGTAAGTACTAATACTAATATTACTCTTGTATGGGACCCTGAGTCAATGAGTAGGTAACAATATTAAAATAGGTTTTATGAAAATCATTGTAGTTACACTGTTTGATGACATATTTATTACCTGGTAAGATGTATACCTATATCACATCACACTTTTTGAAATTAGCCAAACCTTTACTAACTATTTTTTTTTTGTACAACGATAACACTAATAATTGTTCATAAATATATTTAAGAGACATTTCTATATTATATTTTAAGAAATAACACCTACAATTTGTAAAATTAAGGTTTAAATATTAACATGACTAATATTAACCTACTGACCAATAAAATTGTGGTGCGTAACTCATAAGTTATGTACTTATGTATAATTTAAGTAAAATGTTCATACTTTATTCCTTCAATGTCTAAGATTATCTAAATTTAAATATAAATAAATACTTTCTTCGTCAAAATGTATTTATTTGTATGACTTCGTGATGGGAGAACGCAATGAATAAAGAAAAATGAAAATAAGATTGTATATTAGCATAAACATAAAGTATAGTGGCATATATGTTTATTGTCTGCATAATTTATCAACGACACAATTCTCTGAAAAAATGTTATGTCTATAGGTCAATGTTAAACGTGTTACATTTATCTTCAAAATGATTTAAAATAAATTGACGCATAAATTAGTAAATAAATAGAAAACTGTTTGAATCTAAATGAAACCAAAATGTAATTATTTACTGTATGGCGATAAGGTATGACCGTAAGTAAGTAGGTACCTACACTAATTACTAGGACACTACCTATTGGCTATATGTATCTAATACACCGATTACAATATAACTTACCGTAATTTATAGTAATATATTCAAAGTTTTATAGCAGTTTCAACTTGTATTATTTTCATTTAAGTTTAAAAATGAGAAAAATATGAGTAGCCGTCGAAATATTGATTTTTGTTTCATGTTGATGGCATTATGAGATTAGCGCTGTGATTATTTTTTGATAACATAAATAATATATTTCAATTACTTTAATCGATGACACCCGCCTTAAATTTCCTATTTGCCATACCGAAATTTCATTCAAAGAACAAAAATAGTTGCCGATATCTGGCGAGTAAAGAACAAAAATAGTTGCCGATATCTGGCGAGTCCCAGATGATTTTCACTCGTTTATTCTATAATCTTATAATATAGGTTTATTGGAAGTGGATTATGAAATAATAAAATTTGAAGGTACCCCATTGGTTATTAACTAAAAGCTTAGTTTTGTATAAACTTTCAGCTCACTTGCAGTAATGCTTCCAAATAATTTGGAGATCTTAAACCCATATACTTTACAATGAATTCAATGAAATGTTTTATAATAAAATATTACCCATACACGATTAGTCCAATAAAATGTTGTCTGTACGGCCGTTGTGTATACCGAGATGCATAAACGTGCGATGTCTCTCTATAGTGATCTGATTC